TGTTTTTAAAAATGGTTTAAATTTGTCACCCTCAAGTGGGCTTAGAAATGCAGATTTGCCACTAAACAATGTGGGCTTAAAATATGATGATTTGCCACTTCCAGAGTAGGCTTAAAACTCACATTTGATGAATTGTCCCAATTCAAGTAATCAAACCTCCACCCACAGGCATTCAAGCAGTTAAACATATAAGTACATAGCCTCATAGCAAGCATGCTAACATGGCAACGCTCACACTCATGCAAGTATGCTAAAGCATAACACTCACAGTGTACTCCAAGCCAAAACGAAAGCTAGTTAGAAATATGCATGATCCTAACTATACAAAATATCTAATGCAACGCATGCAATAATGCAACTAAATAGGCTTGGCTATCTAAGATGGCATATGAATGCAACAATTTGATACACGTATTCAAATAAGTATTAAAATATGATGCAGTTTGAATGATGCGTCGAGCCCGGTGCATGCAAGACAAATGAATGATGCACGCATGCAAAGCATAAGGTATACTAATCAAAACGTGTCCTAAATTAACCATCGAAAGCGGTTAAGTAAAAGGGAGAAAGAAATGGGGTTGGAAGACATGCACAGACACACACACCCTTATTACAACATTGCGCCCTCTCGAAGGAGGGTCCGAATAAATAAGCTAAGCTAATCTAAGCTAAGCTACTTATTACAAGTAAACTAATTAACTAACTCTAGCTAATTAAATATTACAATCCAAATTGAAACAAATAACTATGCTAAGTTAATTAGAATATTACAAAACAAATCAAATGACTAGTTACACGAACTAAACATAAGCAATGAAATGGCCTCCCATGCAAGGGAGAGATGCATGCTCGGTTGGCGCCATCCCGGAAACCCATTGCTTTGTCGTCAATTGCCTCTGTTTGCACTTGCCTCGATTTTTGAACATTGAACCAACTTCCACACTGTGGCTGGTCCAAAACAAGGTCACTTCTGCACAAAATTGGACTGGTGGCCGGTTGGCCACAAAAAGCGCCTGCCGGCCACCTTAACTGGCCAGTCGGCTAATGAAAGTGACTGGTCGGCTAGTTGAACTGGCCGGTCGACCACCTGCTGTTCTAGGCTTCTGGTTTTGCTGCAACAGAGGACAACAGAAGCACATCAATGTATTTGCAAGAATATGTATGCATTGCCAGACTCCTCATCATGTCTCAAACTTAAAGGAGTGTGGCACTCGGCTCTCAAGCCACCAACCAAGCATCTCAACGCATGATGGCCCGAAAACCAAGCTTGTGCAAGCTTAGTGAATGCACAAACAATACACCAAGAGTCTTCACCCCTATCATACATGATCAAGGGGGTTGGCGATCAAGAAATGTGACACATTTTATCACTTTGAGTATGAAACATCCCACATTTCTTGTGTTTGGATTAACGTCCGATCCAAACACAATGCAATGCAAACAATATGTTTATCTTTCACATGTTTTACTTGGTCCATTTCTTGTTTACTCATTTCAACTTACCAATTAGTCCATTAACCGGTTAAGTTCAATGTGTAAGCCCTCTAATGGGAAAGATGGCCTAAGCCACAAGCACCTTAAGCATGAAAGAAGCCTTATGTTTTTGGTTAGTAGAAATCCTCAAGGGAGGATTAAAACCATTAGGCATAAGAGCCTCGATTCCATGCTTAAGCCAACAAGGGGCTTAAGACCACTTTCGAAATCAAATTCAAAAGTGATGCATGGAGGAAAATTGCAGAAATTCAGTGCTGAAATGGCATGCACAAGACTCTATCATGTAAGCAATGCATGCAAGACATGTTAAGGGTCAAAAGCACTAAAGCTAGTGAAGAGCATTACACAAGAGGGATGCACTATCAGGCTTAAATGACTAAACCAGCCATGAACAGAGCTTAATCATGCCAAACAATGGCCTAAATATGCTGGAATTAAAGCTTAAAAGATTAGACAAACACGCATACGTGTTGGCTCACGAACAAGACATAAGGCACAACTCTCAAAAGCAATGAAAGAGTGGAATATGTGAGAGTGTGACGAAGTTATATGCTCTGAAATTACATACAAAATGATGCTATGGCATGCAAATAACCCAAGCAAAGCATGCTAGAAGCCTCGCAACACAAAGCTAGTCAAGGTCATTTACACTATAGATATACAAAGCGGAGCACATGTGACCAAGACCACTTGAAACAGAGTTAAAGCATGCTAAAGAAAGGCCAAAAACATGCTGGAGTGGAGCCAACACATGCTAGAATAATAGGCTAAACCATCAAGCACACTAGACTAGTGAGCAAGATTGCACTACAAGTGTAAGAAGCAAACAACAAGTGACTAAACCAGCCAAAAACAGAGTTTAAACATGTTAAAATATAGCCAAAAATATGCTTGAACTAAGCTAACATAAGCCATAAAAACATGTTACTTTGTAATGCTAACAAGACACGGCATAGAGAGACAATGAGGGGAGGCCATCCCCCACCATTTTGGGTCTCAAAACATGGTTTTTGTCACTGAAAAACCTTTGAGTTTCAGTGGTAAAAAGGGTCAAAAATTTTGGTTTGAAAGCCTTGAAAAATGGCACAAAAAACTATACAAGCTAAGGAACAAAAGAGAGAGACAACCCCCTAACACAAAATAGGCCTAAACCACCATTTTTACGATTGAAAAATAGAGATTTTCTCAGTTCAAAATCACCCCAAAAACAGTTTGCAAAGGTGGCAAAACAAGTGTGCAAGACAAGCTTAAAAGGGACAAGTGCTTATCCTTGAAGCACAACAGCAAAACAGGTGCAAATCTGAGCCAAAACCAGCTTTGAGAGCTCAAATAGGACCTCCAAGAACCTCAGCAACAAGGTATAGGTGTTTGGTCTAGGGTCTCTTTGCAAGAGTGTAGGAAATTCTCACTTCTAAGCACAATATAGGAAGAAAGAGAGGCTTCTAGAGAGAGAGGCTGGAATTTTGCTCACAAAATTATAGAGAGAGAGAGAGAGGTTCCCAAACTTGTTAAGCTTTCAAAATGTTCTAACCCCTCAAACCATAGAGAATGGCCTCTATATATAGCAAAACGAGAGCCTTGGGTCGGAAATATCTGTTTTAAAGACAACTGGAGCATTTGGAAGACAACTGGAGCAAAAGATCTACAAATTCTGAGCTTTCTAGGCATTTTTGGCTGACCGGCCATCTTTTTGGCCGACCTTCTACTAATGATGGCCGACTGTATACATTTGTGGCCAACAAGACACTATCAGTGGCCGACAGCAAATTCTGTCCAATTTCAAATGGGCATAACTTCGTCATATGGACTCCTTTTCAGGTCATTCTTATGCCTAAATTGAAGCTCCGGAAGTAAGCTTTCCAATGGTGGCAGCCTCACATCAAAATTTCAACTATGCAAAACATTATGCCTCTTTTAGTGAATGCTGCTCAGTTTTGATCCTAATGAATTGATGCCCAACTTCCAACAACCATATCTCCCCCATCCGGACTCGGCTTTAGGAGATTCTTGAGTGAAAAATGAAACCCCGGAAGTCTTCTTTCCAACGGTGGTGGCCTCATAGCTTAAATCCAAGTATACAAAAGGATAGGCCTGATTTAGCGAGGCCTGCTTGACTCTCTCTTAACAATTCAGGCCCAACTTCTTCCCCAACTGGGTTTCTTCTCTTTTCTCCAATTTCTTCAACTCCAAACCTCTAAACAAGATGTTTTGGAAGATTTTTCAAAGAATTCACATCTCTTTTATTCATTTCCACTTTGTCCTTGCTCGATTTACCGAAAAGCGCAACATTTAACAAAATGCGAGCGTTGGAACATCGTAGAAACTTTATTTCAAAAATATTTTGAAAGAAAGGGTTTTCCATTCAAAATAACTTTGGTCCAAAATGAGGTGTGAGGTTAGGATTTGACTCTCCTCTTGTCAAAGAAATCGAACCTTTGCACTACACACCTTTCATCACCAAGTAAACAATCAGCAGCGCCTAAGTCTTAAGGGCGGTCAAAAATAGGGTGTCTATAGTATGTTACATTGCAATGTTACGTTTTTGGGGTGTTATATTGGAGTGTTACGTTTGAAAAAAAAAAGTACACTAAAGAGTTTTTTTGAAGTGTTACGTTTAATAATTTCAACATTATGAGAAAACTCACATTTTGGTCATTTATGTAATTCAAACTAAAATGGAACCTGTGGGTCTATAAAAAAAAAAAGAGAGGACCAAACAGTTTATAAGATCATTATTTGGGATTTATTGGTACTTCACCCTTTATTTAATTGGTATGAAATTATATTAAACAAATTTTGTTTACTAACAACAATTAAATTTTTAGAGAAATAATATAGTTTCCTTATGAGTTTTTATAATTTATTTAATGGAATCACTTATATAAATTTTATATAAATTCTTATATTTTGACCTTCTTAACGATAAATCTTGTACAAATAATATTTAATTGAAATTATTCTATTATAATTTTATTAGCCCAATTAGCTTCTATTGAATAATATTTAATAATGATTTAGTCAAATAAAATTCAAGCTCATCCATTGATAGCTCGATAAATCTATCTTATACCTTTCCTTTGGCAATTTTCCTCCCTCTACTAGAAGAATTTCGAGCTTCATCATAACTCAATCCCAATCTAGTTAAGGGTAATTGGGTAATTTTAATCGAACAACCAAAATCCTAACTAGGTGTGACTCAACTAGATAAAAGTCTAGAATTAAAAAAGTTAAGTATTCAATATTCTTGAAACGCCACGCATTCATATTTCAAGACTAATTATTATATCTTATATTTTTTAATTATTCAATACAAAATCATCAACTTTATAATTTTTCACTAATTATATCTCTCGGAAGATTACGTGGCGTAATCTAGAATCCCCCCAAGAGGGTAGAGCTAAGAAAAATGGCTTTACCGCCAAAGCCACGTGTACACTCCTTAGAGATAATGACGTGTACGTGTAACCGCAGCCTCCCTATAAATACCCCTCATTCGATCCAATCCGCTTTTCTCTCTCTGACAGTTGTTTCTCTCTCCTCTCAAACCGATTGTGAATTGGAGAGAGAGTGATACATACAATATAGACATAAACACACACTGGTTGGAATCTGAACAACGCAGTTTCTTTCTCCCTAGCTAGGGTTTCCTTCGATCTAGGGTTCCAATCACTTTCTCTCTCTTCTGCTGTCTTCACTGTTTGAAGATCCGATTCGATTGCTTCTCTCTCGTTATCTGTATATATCTCTCCTGTCTTGGCTCGAGATCGGGGCCAAGCGCACAACAACCTGTCCCAGAGATCTCTCTTCAACTTCAGCGGCCGGTTAGGGCTTTGGAGTCGGATCACACTCACTGGTTCTCTCTCTACTCCCAAGTGCAGAGAGGTGTTCAATCAATTAATCCATTTCAACTCTGCATTGTCTCTTATTCTACTGTTCTTGATTGGATTTGATTGTGTTGTTTAGGATTTGTGAGTGTAAAATGGCGTCGAGGGAGGGGTTTTTGACGGAGGAGCAGCGGGAAGTACTGAAAATAGCGACAGAGTATGCGGATGTTTTGTCGTCGTCACCAAAATCACAGACTCCGAAATCGCCTACTACGTCTATGCTTTCTGAACATCACATCAAAGCTCCTGCTGGTGGGAAAGCCGCTACAGCTGGGATTGCTGTGAGGCATGTGCGTCGTACTCATTCTGGGAAGCTCGTGCGCGTGAAGAAGGGTGAGTCGGTTACCATTTTATTGTGTATGATGGTAGTGTGATAAATTTTTGAAAAAAATAAATAAATTAGGCTTTGTATTGGGGACAGTAATGCAATTAGGGGTTCAAATTGTTTATCAAATGCTTGGCTGCGGTGTATTTTGCTGCGTGGTGAAAATCCTCAAGAAGTTAAAATCTGTATTTTATGTTATTTGTTTACAAAGTCAAGAAGATACATGTCATGACATGAGTTTTTCGTATTATTTTGGAATTTGGCTAAGCTTCAGAATAGAAGGCAATACGGAAGTCACCAATCCTTTATGCAGGAATGGGAGCGCAAAAAACATCTCGAGTTAAAATATCTTGAAAATGGTGCATCAACAGAGTGCCTATGGGGTGTTTGGGAAGAAAAAATTTTGGTTTTTTTTGGCTAAAATAGCACTAAAAAACAAAATAAGCTAAAATAACCAATAATCAAATTCATAATCATTTCACTTTTTCTCTCACAAACATCACATCCAACTATGAAAAAAAATCCAACTCTTTTTCCAAACACAACTATTTCCAAACACCCACTATATATATGTAGATAAATATATATCCACTTGAAAGTTAACCTCAAGGGGTTGGCCTGCCTAGAGCCTTAGGGTGTGCTCCCTCCAAGGTCTCAGATTCAAAACTTTCTACATATAAACAATATCTTGGGGCCAATCCATGCAGGGCTTTGCCTTGACTTTAATTGGAGCGTCCGCTAGTGAACGGTAGTATTGGTCCCTGAATTTGTCAGTCCAATGGGCTGGATACTGAGTGATCAAAAAAATATATCCGCTGGAAAGTTTTCTCTAATATTTAACACATCCCACGTCGGTTGGAAAAATGAAGAGAGAACTCCACTCTTTTATAGAAGTTGCCCTCAATGTTTGTCCCACTTTGTGTTCCAAGGGTTATTATGAGTGCAGTGCATGAACCTTGTATATTACACAAGGAAATGGCTAGCTGGCCTTCTATGTGACCATATTTTTGGAAATGCAAAGCTATAAATTGTTTCTTGCGATTTATTCATTCATGGACGTTTAGACATTTAATCCGATCTCTTCATTCCAAAACTTTGTCCATTCTCAAAATGCATGATGCTTAATTTTAATACATCAAATGCATCTACACGTGACTTGTTAACCGTACCATAACATTCGACTTACGCTTCTTGTGGGAGGTGTTACATTGTATAGAAGGGTGTTCAATAACACTTACTCGTTGACTTTGACGATGGACACTAAGGCTCCGTTTGGTAAGACTCTCTGACTATGATTTGAGAATATAAGTTATATTTTGAGTTTGTGTGTTTTGAAATTATGATTTGAGTGTAGAAAATTTGTTTGGTTATGATTTTTTAATAGAATTTTGAATTGAGTGTGAAATTGAGTTTTAAAAGTTTGATTTGACATGTGAAGTAAGAAAATTTGTTTGGTTATGAGTTTTGGAAAGAGTTTTCAAAACTTAATTCAAATTGTTATAACTCATAACAAAACACACTACTTTCACATTATTAAAAATTCTGATCAACACTCATAACCAAACTCTTTTTAAAATTCAATTAAAAAAATTTATTATTAACAGAAAATAATATTAATCAATTTTTTAATTGAAAATACTACAAAGGAAATAATTTTTTTCAAAATAAATATTCAAAAAATTTAAATCATAAATATTTAAATAATTTAAATAATGTAAAAAATTTAATAAGTAAAAAATTTAAATCAATATTCAAAAAATTTAAATCGTAAAAATTTAAATAATTTAAATATTCAAAAAATTTAAATAATTTAAAATTTAAAATTTTAATATTTTAAATTTAAAACAACTCTACACTCAAATCATAACCGAACATATAAAACAAAATTCAATTAAGAAATTATTTTTAAAACTCATAACCAAACTCATAACCAAACACATAACTCGAAATTTCATACTATTTTCACAACTTTACATTCAAATTGTAACCAAATACATAACAAAAAAATTAAAATATTTAAAAATATTCAAAAAATTAAAAAATTAAAAAAATCGTAACATATTTAAATTTTAAAATATTTAAATATTTAAAATATTTAAAAAATTAAAATATTGATTTGAATTGAGTTTTGAAAAGAGTTTTGAATTATGTGTTTGGTTATGAGTTTTGAAAAGTAATGATTATGTTTTGAATTGAGTTTTGAGAAATGGGTGTAGAATTATTATTTGAAAGCTCAAAACAAACACTACACTCAAATCAATGGGTGAAACTATAGTTTGAGAGGCTTACCAAGCGGAGCCTAAATTTTTGGGACATCTAGAAAAGAAAGTATGGGGACTAGTCTTCAAATGTCTATAGTGTTTTAAAAGATTTAGGATATAGTGTTTTGTACAAAATGTAAACTTGGGTGTTAAGTTTTGGTGTAGACAATACAATGTGTGCAAAGATCCAATCTCGAGTATTTGAGCGTATTGCATTAGTTTAGGACAGATTTATCTATCGAGCATTAAGTATCTATCAAGGAGTGTTGCGTTGCTATGATTCATCTTTGCAGAGATTTTATGAGCAGCTCGCAGCTCTACTTTAATCCCGCTCGAGTAGTGTGACACTGAGTCATAAGAATACAGATCTTGAGAGGCATGCTTAAAGTTTATTCGAATTCACTTCTTTTGATATCTAGGGTTTGGAGGGTGGTGTGCCATTTGTAGGTGTCGTTTTTTGACACTTGTGTACTTGCCTTTTTCTTTTGTTCCGTCATTAGCGGACTCCCTGCCCCTCATCTCCTAGTACCTTTTCTTTTCATCAATAAAATCTCTTTTGTTGCTGATCGAAAAAAGGACTACTTGTCCCTCATCTCCTAGTACCTTTTCTTTTCATTAATAAAATCTCTTTTGCTGCCGATCAAAAAAATAATCCTAGAGAATTTTTAACTTTCCTAAAGCCTTAACAAACCTAGGAAACTTCTTTTGTATATTTAGTAACGACCTGTTTTGCTTATGTATGATTGAGAACTTCTCTGATGTTATATAAAACCACACCACCCCACTGCACTTTGATCACTCACTGTGCATTGGTTATTCTTGTCATTTGGCTAACTGCAATTGGAGGCATAAAAAACAAAGATGGAGACAAGAGATCAAGACCACGTGCAATTGTAGTACAAGCTTGAAAACATGAAGATGAAAATGTCACAGCCAATGCATTTAGGTTGAGTTGTAATTCATTTAATTGAGTCTTTGTTTTAAACTTTTGATCTAGTAGATTTTTGACAGGCAATGGTGCCCATAGTTTCTTACACATGGGGATTGTTGTTCCCAAAGATAATCCTTTCCACTTATATATTAGAATTGGCAAACTGAATTGGATTAAATAATTCACTTGGTAAATTTCATTGGTAATAAATTATAAGTTTAACCTATTCAACCCCCTCTAGATTCAAATGTGTGTGCTTTGGCGATTTCATATAGTTTGCTTGTGTAGAGGTTATCCGTAAATGATCAATCCTTGCTGTTGATCATGATAGATAGGTGAGGCTTATTATTACTACTTTCAAAATGATTTTTTTTTGGGTGTATGAACATGTCTCTTAGGCCAGAATGCCACAGGTTCAAAGGGTTGACAAGTTTATATCATGAGGATCTAATCGAGTAACTACCCTTCATGGATTTTTAATATTTTAGGTTGGCCGCTTAGGCGTTCCTCCCTCCATTAACTGATGATGGCAATTACTGAATACATTTGATGTTTTAGATGAGTGCCTGGTTCATTAATTGTTTGTGTACTAGAAAGGCAAGCTAAAAAAAAGGGGGGTTTGAAGGATTGGAGCTACTGATCCATGAGCTGAAACTTAAAATCTTGAAATTTCTTTTGTTATCGCCTTTAGTTTGTTACCTATTTTGGAAGTTTTTCATTCTTTTGTATGTATTTATTTATTATTTATTGTCTGATCTTAATTTTCAAAAGTGTTATTTGTTCTCTTTCTTGTTTTTCCAATTCACACGTACTTCATGGAATCTTGGGAGTTGAGTTAAAGGATGTTTGGTCCCTTCCCTAGTTCATTAATAACATTTATTTGTTTGTGATACTTGTTGATGAAACTAGTTTTTTTTCGATGCTTGCAAATACAATACCTTGCCTTCATTTGTGCCTCTATGTTGTGGATGCTAGTTTCCCATTTACTTCATTGGATAAATGCCACTCCATGCACCTTGTTGCCATATTTTTATGTCATAGTTTCACTTATGTAAATCTTCTTGTTGTAAGGACCACAGACACTGTTTTCAATCTTTTAGATGAATTTTTGTATGGGGAATTGAATGTTTATTTATCTCTGTGCATGCATGGCACATTTGTTTTATTTGCAACAGAGACTAATTGGTATGTTGTCTTGAGGAAGCAATAGGCCAGCCAAGTTGAGAAAGAAAATGCTGTGTATATAAAATGTATATAAATGACAATATACAATCACTGTATTATTTTTCAACAACGATTGAAATTTTAATGTTGTGTATTTACACCTTATTATATATGTCAATGTTGTGTGGTGTTTCCCTGTAGTCTGAACTGCATGCTCTTGCTTCAAATTTTAGTAATGATGTAAATGTGGGTAGTGGACACCAGTGTTTGAAACAGATATGAAATAACACTTCCAAAGACTCGGATATTAAATCAATGTATCATGCACTGTCTATTTGAGCTGTCCAAAGTGACAAAATGAGAAAAAGGAGGTATACCTACATTGAAGGTTCAGCATTGGATAGATTGGGGCTTTTGTGGACACATTCTCCCTCTTCTAGTCATAGAAGTTCATAACCTTTCATTAATTTTTTTTTTTTTTCAATTAAGAATATTTTCATGAAGTATGGTTTTTTTTTTTATTATTATTATCCGCTTTTCATGATTTATTGTTGAATGAGTTAATAGTTGTGATTTTGTTTAAAATTAGTAAATGCATGGTTTTGTATATAATTGTATCAGGTTTTCTTAACCACATGAACAGATTAGTCTACTTTTCCGTCAAGAGTGAAACCTTTTTCTCTCCTTTTGTATTTTTCCTCTTCTCTGGTTTTTGATCCCATGTTTTGGACAGGTGATTACTGCTTGCTGTTGACATTGCTTGTCATTTTTAGCAGCCTTATTCAACTAATATTTGATTAATTGTTTTGTTGAACATTTATGATAACAGATGGTGCTGGTGGCAAGGGCACCTGGGGGAAATTACTTGACACTGATGGTGAATCTTGTATTGATCGAAATGATCCAAACTATGACAGCGGGGAGGTAATGGCTGATTTTAGTTCAAGTAAATGTGTCTTACTTGCTGTCTTACCTAAGAGATAGATAGGCTTTTCTCGGTGGTTTTGGCTAGCCCTGTTGTTTCAGTGGTTTGCTCTTGAAATAAAATAGATTTGTAATTGTTTTTCTTGTAATTTATTTTTTCACATGGAGCTTGGTCCTGTATGTGTTACGGGCTTCTGAAGTTATCCTTGACTTCTACAGGAACCATATCAGCTCGTTGGGGCGGCTGTTTGTGACCCCTTGGATGAATACAAGAAAGCTGTGGTTTCTATTATAGAGGAATACTTCAGCAATGGCGATGTGGAATTGGCAGCATCTGATCTCAGAGAATTGGGTTCTAGCGAATATCTTCCATATTTTGTAAAAAGGCTTGTTTCCATGGCCATGGACAGGCATGACAAAGAAAAGGAAATGGCTTCAGTTCTCTTGTCGGCTCTCTATGCTGATGTTATCGGCTCAGTTCAGATTAGCCAGGGGTTTGTCATGCTCCTTGAGGCTGCTGATGACCTTGCTGTGGACATACTGGACACAGTGGACATCCTTGCTTTGTTTATTGCTCGTGCTGTGGTAGATGACATTCTCCCTCCAGCTTTCCTCACCAGGGCAAAGAAAATGCTCCCGGAAACCTCCAAGGGATTGCAAGTTATCCAAACAGCTGAGAAGAGCTATCTCTCGGCTCCGCACCATGCTGAACTTGTTGAGCGGCGATGGGGCGGTAGCACCCACATTACAGTCGAGGAAGTAAAGAAAAAGATAGCTGATCTTTTGAGGGAATATGTGGAGAGTGGAGACACTTCTGAGGCCTGTAGGTGCATACGGGAGTTGGGTGTTTCATTCTTTCATCATGAGGTTGTGAAAAGGGCTTTGGTTCTTGCCATGGAGATCCAAATAGCAGAACCACTCATACTGAAGTTGTTGAAGGAAGCATCGGTGGAAGGCCTCATAAGTTCCAGTCAAATGGTTAAAGGGTTTGCACGATTGGCTGAGTGCCTTGAAGACCTTGCTCTCGACATACCGTCTGCAAAAACGTCGTTTCAATCTTTGGTCCCCCAGGCAATCTCTGAAGGTTGGCTTGATGAGTCATTTTTCAAGTCCTCAGGTGAAAATGGAGAGGTAGAAGACAAGGATGATGATAAAATTAGACGATATAAGGAGGAAATTGTGACAATAATTCATGAGTATTTTCTCTCGGATGACATTCCTGAACTCATCCGAAGCCTTGAAGATCTTGGGTTGCCCGAGTTTAACCCAGTTTTCTTGAAGAAGCTGATCACCCTTGCCATGGACAGGAAGAACAGAGAGAAAGAGATGGCTTCTGTTCTGCTATCAGCGCTTCATATCGAGATCTTCTCAACTGAAGATATAGTTAACGGTTTTATCATGCTTCTGGAATCTGCTGAAGATACAGCACTCGACATTCTGGACGCGTCAAATGAACTTGCTCTTTTCCTCGCCAGGGCTGTGATCGATGATGTCTTGGCTCCGCTAAATTTGGAAGAGATAGGAAGCAAGTTGCCGTCAAATTGCAGTGGCAGCGAGACGGTACACATGGCTCGTTCACTTGTAGCCGCACGTCACGCAGGTGAGAGGATCCTGCGGTGCTGGGGTGGCGGAACCGGCTGGGCCGTGGAGGATGCAAAGGATAAGATACAGAAGCTTCTAGAAGAATATGAGAGTGGCTGTGTTGTGAGTGAAGCTTGCCAGTGCATTCGTGATCTTGGAATGCCTTTCTTCAACCACGAGGTTGTGAAGAAAGCTTTGGTTATGGCTATGGAGAAGAAGAATGATAGGATGCTGGATCTGCTGCAGGAATGCTTCGGCGAAGGGCTGATCACAATCAATCAAATGACAAAGGGATTTGCGAGAATCAAGGATGGGCTCGATGATCTGGCTCTCGACATTCCTAATGCAGAGGAGAAGTACAACTTCTATGTAGAGTTTGGCAAGAAGAAAGGGTGGCTCCTCCCTTCTTTCGGTTCCGTTGCAGCAGCAGCAGATACTTTACTGACAATTCCGGCAGCTGCAGCTTCTTGAGAAGAACATGATATTTCGATTTGTTTCTCTCTCATGTATGTTGTTACTCATTTATACCCTATTGTACTCTTTTTTAAACTTGTGTTTTTGACTTAGAGATGTGGATAGAAATGGGACATTTGAAGTCCTTGGGATGTTTTTCTTTCTTAATGGGTGGTTTAATAGCGATCAAGAATGTATAAAGTTGGTATTTGGTTCAGTTCACATATAACAAGTTAGGGTTATGATATTAGTTGTTGTCACATGCATGATAATAGTAGCTACATTTTTTTTGCCTCCCACTTCTACTTCTGAAAGTTTTTGGTGTTTGTTCCTCTCTGCTGGATTATGAAGTGCCTAGTTATATCCTGGGATTTCTTTGAGGCCATGGTTTAATAAATTATTTATTGATTTTTTTTTTCCTGAAGGAAGATGAGCAAGACATGTTACTAAATTTATTTTAAAAAAATTTGAGATCCAAACACATTTTGAAAATGGAGCACCCTTTACTATGTAGTTGGTGGTTGGTTATGCGATAATTAGTGAAAGTTATGCGATTGTGTTTTGCTCCATTATGCATATTGATGGATAATTATTTAGATAGATGATTGGTTATGTGCATCCACTTGAAGGGAAAAATAGATAATTGATGAAAAATATGTTTATTTACTTGAACAATATGTTGATTTACTTAGACATTATGTTTGGTTTAGTTAATAGTAGAACAATATGTTTATATTTCAAAAAATTATAAGTAGATTAATAATTGAACAATATTTGCCTAATACTAGTTTGTTTGGTGAATGTTATATAATTTTTCTTGTAAACATATTATGTAAAACCATGGTTCCAAACCAATCAAACTGTATTTAAATAATTTGGTTCGGATTGGTTCTATGATCTAAATTGATTGGTTTAGTTTCTATTTTTATGGAACCATAAACAATGCATTAGTTCTGATTTTATCTCAAACTGAATCAATTCAGACCATCCTCACCTATATGGCAGGTGGCAGTGGTGGTGATGATATAGATAGATAGGTAAATTACGTGAACATATAAGAGCATCTCCAATAATTTACTAAATTTTTCACCAAATCTGAATAAAAAAAAGACCATTTTCTCAATCTGATACAGACTGCTCCAATGGTTGTCATCAAAGCAGGGGTCAACCGGTGGGTTGATCGGCTAGTCGACCAGATAGTGTATTTTTTTTTTTTTACCTCTTTGAATCTTTTGACCTGTTTAAATCAACCTATTTGCAAGGGAATCGGTCGACCGGTTGGTCAACCGGCCGGTTGATTGGTTGGTCTCTCCCAACAGTCACGCACAGTAAATTGGTAAAATCTTCCCCTGTTCTCACTTTGATGAAAAATTTGGTAAATTCTCGTTTTAATACCAATTTGATGAAACCATTGGAACTGCAAAAAGTGACTTTTTCACCAAATTTCAAATTTGATGCAAGGTTTGGTGAAGCGTTGGAGATGATCTAAAGTGACACATAGACAACTAAGAAGATGACAAGTGGACAAATAGATAACACTTGAACAGATAATAATATGATTTTTTAAATTGACATTTAAACAAATAGAATAATATGATTTTTAAAATTATTATTGTCCTTTAGTCTTTCGGAGAATAGAGTTTGAAACAACTGTCTCAAAAGTTATGAAATGGGACTTGAAAAAAATAATATAGCTATATCATATTATTATGTACAAATTTTTGTTTGGGGATGGAATATCATATTATGTAAATTGATTGTGTTCTCCCTCCATGTGTATGTCAAAGAACACCTACAGAGAGAGTTTAACAATGTATTTATATTTCAAGTATGCACGAAAAAAAAAATAAAAAAATTGACATAATAGAAAATGTCAACAAAGTACAACAAAAAGCTCTTAATTACAGAGCTGACCACATGGAGTTATTTTTCCACTGTTTATATTATCATCAAGTTGTCACCTCATGAATTCTGGCATATTAAGCAATTAAATGCTTTGAATCTCCGTTGCCCTTCATCCAAAAAAAAAAATTGAATTACAACAAAAACATTACAATTGAGCATATACCACATATCAGTTAATACCCGATACAACAGGAATGAGACCTGTTTGCTTATATTAATCAACTGACCTGAAAATTAGGCGTAAACTTACATTTTGGTTTCTCTTGTTTCCATGGTTACATACAACTTAAAACAATGGAATCGCTTATGTCCAACATAGATATAAACATGGCATTGGCATTTGGAGAAATGTCTATCAAATGGATTCAGAATGCACAATATTTGGAAAGCAACAAAAAACCCGGCATGAAATATAATATTGAGAGGGTGCCATTCTGGAAACTTGCTAGCTAACATACTGCTTCTCAAGAAGGCCTCTGCAGAATGCTAGATCAAATCTTTCCTCTGGAGGATCTCCAATGCAATCAAAAACTGCATCTGCATTTACAAAATCCTCCTCAGCCGTGTACCTACAGCCAGTGATTAATTCATTTGTTAGCATGGCTTTATGTTGGGTAAATTACAAATACACACCTGAGGTTATTTAAAAATAAAAATTCCTCCTTCACATTTGAGAAATTACATCCCATCCCTTGAGATTTCCAATCACATTACAAATGGCCCCCTCCGTTAATCAACCGTTAACATTAAGTCAAACAAATAGAGTATATGATGTAAACAATAATTTTTTTTCCAAAAATACCTATATTAACCTTTATGAAATTAAACACTTTATTTTCATTTTTCTTTTTCCTATCTCATATTCCTTATTTCCCATTTCTCTCAACTAGTAACACCACTTTGCCCAGCCATCGCATCACCCTCTCCAACTCTTGATCAGCAACACCGTCATTATTTTCTTCAACGTTTGGTGTGTTGCCGAGGAGGGTTCGAGAATATTGTAGTGCCGTATAATGTGATTTGGTGGTAGGTGGATGGAAATGAAGGTTGTATGATAATTTCATTATGCTACTACAGAGTATTTGGGTAAATTTTTTTTCTGTTAGGTTTGCAAGAAAAATTCTGACAATGAGGTATTTTTAATTTCCATAATGTGAGGGGAGAATTGTATTTTTGATAAACCTCAGGGGTGTATTTGTAATTTATCCCTTTATGTTTTGTCCCCCCCTCTCTCATATTATTATTATTATTATTATTATTATTATTAATGGCCTAACATAAGCCTCAAATCTTGCAAAATACCTATTCCAATAAGAATCTCATCCAAGAAATCTCAAAGTTTTGTGGGGCAAGTTTGTGGCTTACTATGCACACAAACAAACATTTACACAATCAATCACTGGTTAGAATAAACCCATAAGGCTATAATTCATAGTAGAGAAAAAGAAACATACCCGCTCTTCGTTACAATACATTTCATTCCAGCAGCTTTGGCTGCTGCAAGACCTATGGCACTGTCTTCTACCACCACACAACTGGGAAACAAAAATGAAGAGTGTATCACTTCTCATATTACATGCCAAATTTTTAGATAAGAAAGCACTTCTAAAAACATAGAACTGCTTTTAGACATAAAAATTAAAATCCATTTTAGACTCATAGAAGCAGTGTATGATTTTGATAATATTGTCTAGCAATACCTTGAGGGTTCAACACCCAGGGTGGCGGCTGCTAATATATAAATTGCCTGCCAGAATGCCCAAAAAAAAAAAAAAATTAAAGTCGCTAAGAGCTCATCTTCATACTCCAATCATTTTAAACCACAAGGAAAGAAAATTATCAGATCTTGTTTACATGGCAATCGAATAGATCTAATTGATTGCATGCATAAAAAGACTCTTGATCTCCATAGATACTACAAAAATTGACAACTGATGTTACCAAAACTGAATAATGTGGTCTTGCCTTAAAATGAATTGAATGCAATATCTACCAATATAACTTCTATGTGGTGTCCAAACACTGCCAAATACAATAAATCAAGATGGATGTAGAAGTTACTGGATCAGGCTTTTTGCGAGGAACCACATCTCCGGCAAATATCTTGATTTTTTCTGCTCGCTCAGGTCCAAGCAAGCATGAAACTATTGCAGAGACCTGAAATCACAATATATGATTTGGTTGTCAAATAAGAAACAAATACTAGCAAAATAAAAGAAGTAGATTAACAGGCTTAAAATCACCACATCAAACTCAGTTGTCAAAATAAGAAGCAGAGAGCAGTGGCACATATTTTGCCACCAAACTAGAGTTTATTTATCAAATTAAAAAAGAAAATTTATGAATTTTTAATTGTAAATGATCAAGTATAAAAGGCTGCTAGAAAAGACTAAAGGGTTCAAAGGAGATGTTTCACTTGCACAGTCTTCAATATGTTTTTAATGATTTTAAGCAAATAATGGCTCATGCAAGAGACAAGTCCCAAGATAAGGAGAATCATGGACATTACACCATGTGTGCGCCTTAAACAGTTTTTATTAGCATATATATGCTCTTCATGTGTGTGTGTACTCCAAACCACCATCACCAATGGACTGTCTTACCATTTGAATTAAAACAGTCCCTTCATTATTCCAGAAGGCAATGATCAAGAATTGTGAGCCAGATTATGCAAAAACATATACTACATGTTCACAACATGAGAAACATAGAACCTGATAACGCATACCGCCTTCTCATTGGAGGTGCTGCAAACAGCAACTTTAACACCCTTTGCCAAAGCCTGATCAATCAACCTAGAAAATTTGAGTAGTCAAAACTCAGGAAACAATGCAGTTGGTACTTCATAATTTATTTCAGATTTTACCTTTTATCTACTTTCAAAATACTGCTTCATGTCAATCATAAACCATCCATAGCAAGATGATAGCATATATTTTTTATTGAAACATTAAAGGTCCATATATAATGAAATTTCTTAATACTACTATCAGGAGTGGCCGACTGCTAAGGCAGCTCCAATGGATTTGTAATAGATAAAAATGACACACACACACACAGCACATATTCACCTATTACACATGAACATGAATTCTCCACAACTCAAATATGGGTAACATGTGTTTTTACTAGATTGTTTGCATCTGATTAGGGGTAAACAAGAATAACTTATATGCCAATTTAAGGTGGATGAGAGAGAGAGAGAGAGAGCTTCGACATGGAATTAAACCCCATGTGAAAATGATCTTGCCAAGCTCAAGTAGAGCAGAGAAAACACAAGAAGCAACAGGTCACTAACATTCCACATATCATTGAAAAGTCAGGCCAAATATCAAAGACAAGAATTCTCTATGAGGGGTTTCATCTTTTTAAGTTCAAGATCTTTGATGATTTAAAGGGAATAATACACACAGTTGTGCACCTAACCAAATCACTTGTGTTATATACTACAAGTTGGATTCAACCTTTGTGGTATTGACTAAAAGTTGGATTCAACCGCATTGGCTATCCTACATAATTAGAAGTTTAGGCTTATGTTTTTGTTCCCATTTATAAATATATCTCTGTATTCATAGTAGTGGTCAGAGGAGTAACAGTTGTATAGGATCTCCTAATTTTCATCAACAATTCATTCTTTCAAGAAACCCTGTCTTTCCGAACCTCACATTTCATAAAGACAATAAGCTGAACATTTCCATGATGCAACTAACAGTAGGTTGTATAAATTCTAAGGCAATGAAACATTGCACTTGCAATTACAAGTAAGTATCAAGCTCCAAATGCAACAGAAGGAAAGATTGAAAGGCAACTAACTTCGCAACACCTGGCCGAAGAGGCAACAACTTTTTCTCAATAAGGGCCATGAACAACTCCGTCTTTCTCTTGTGCAGGGAAGCAATAAATTGCTTTCTTTCCTCTTCGCTCTTTGGAGCTTTCTCTGGCCAACCAGTCTTGTTAAAGTAGGCTGTCATCCTATAAAGACACAAATTAACCACCAACCTAAAAAAATCAACACCGAAAATTCAAACCAAACAAAACCTCAAAGTAGTCATAAATTATTATAGGACCTCTAAATTATGATAACAATATTCTCATGATCTCTCTACTTCAATTAAAAAAAAAAAAAAATCAAATTCAATGTTCTCTATGAGATTTATATAACTTGTAATAGACTTACACTTTTTTCCCAGAAAGAGGCATTACCTTTCTTTTCCTCCCCCAATTTTGAGCAACTCGCCATACAAATCCACATCCCAGGTAACTCCCAATTCCCTCTGTGTAAAATCAATTTTACTTTGTAATCAAATCAAACAACTTCAATGCGAAAAAAATAATAATAATGACATTGCAAAAATATAATCATAACCCAATTCAGTAAAAATCGAAATTAGAACACAAATTCCCCACAAAAAAAAAAAAAACAAAACAAAACAAAACAAACAAACAGAACAAAACAAAACAAAATACAACCCAACCCAACCCAACCAAATTTGTAAACAAATCAGCAACTCATTATAACAAAGAACGAACTTCATGCACACGAATTACAAAAATAGAATCAAAACCCAATTCAATAAAATCGAAATTAGCTCAATACAAACAGAGCAAACACAAAATTCCTCCATAAACAAACAAAAGAAAACACAACCCAGTTCAGAAAACTTGGCAATTTTATCAAAAATCAAACAAGAAATGGCATAGGAAGAACAGAGAGACAAGAAAGGGGTGTACTTCAGTGAAAGTGTCGTTGAAAGAAATGCGATGGCCGTCCTTCTCTGTATCAACGAGCACGCCGTCGCAATCGAAGAGGAGAGCAGAGGGAAGAACAGAAGAAGAAGAAGAAGAAGCCGAGCACGTGAATCCTCCTCCATTTCGATAGCTCTTCTTGCTTGATGCTCTGTTTGTGCTTAATCTAGTACCCAATATAGAAGAAGACAAGGAGCTCCTCACATGGTTTCTGGGACTAGAAACAGAATACTTCTTCATGTCAAATAATGGAGCTGGTAATAATATAGAAGAAGAAGAACAGGAAGAGGTGTTCAGCGAAGGAGAGACTACACTTGACGCCATTAACACTCACCTCTCTCTCTCTCTCTCTCTGGTTTTAATATTTGTTTAAAGAAAAGAAACTTATCCACCAGAGAGCCACAAATTAATGAGATTCAAAAGTATAAAAGTTTTTTTTTATTTAAATCTAACATATATATTATTATCAAAATTTAAAATTTAAAAATAATACAATTTTTTTATTTAAATGTCAATTTTTAAAAAAATTAATATTTTTAAGATTCTCGAATCAAAACTTATCAAATAAAATTCATATTGATTATAAAATTCTTAATATATATATATATATATCATTATCATCGAAAATGATTTAAACAGTAATATGTTATCCTATTAGATAGTAACATGCTACTCTATCTCACAGTAACATATTACTCAGGTTCATAATAAAATGTTACTCTGATTTATAGTAAAATTTTACTTTATTTCACAAGAAAATTTTACTTTGATTCACAATAAAGGTTGTATAATAGAAGAAATAATTCAAAATTATAACAGAAAAAATAATTCAAAAACACACTACTAGAGTAAAACTTGACTATCATTGTTAAACAAAAAATCATCAAAAAAAAAACTAATTTTGAGAATGATAGAATACATTTAAAGAGTAATCACAACACGTAGAGATGAAATTTTACTTTTATATTTACAAACTAATAAATAAACAACAATATATATATATATATATATACATGCATACATGTATAAAACCTTCCACGTATCCATAGAAGAGCTCAAACTCATTTTCTAACTTTTTATTAATTAGATTTTATAAAGAAAATATAGAGCTTTTCATTGATTTTAGTTTCACTTAATTTATTTTTTGTTCCATTACAATTAAGTTCATGGCACATACATACATATATATACAGCTAAATCATATATATGTATATGTATATATGTATAATCTGTAGATTGCACAATAATTCTGAGCCAAATGCCATGTTTGTGAGTACAGACACCCCATTTTTTACCGTGCTCAAGACTTGAACGTCATCGTTTGAACACCCAATAATTGTGCTTGTTCGTGTTCGTTTTCAGTCCCTGAAGGTCTCGGGCGAGCGCCTTGCCTTGGAGCCTCTAATCTTGTCTGTTTTGTTCTTGGTTGTGGACCAAGAACTTATTGTTTCAATTCTAGAGGAAAGGGTGGCCTGTCAGCCATCCCCATAGCCTGCCTGCCAGCCATGACTTGTGCCTGTCGGCCACCAGTGGTGCCCGGTCGGCTATGTTGATGGGCGGTCGGGTACATTGATAGCCGACGACCATTTTTCTCCTTTTTCAGATATTTATTTTCTAATTGTGCCAGCTGTTGTTCACTGATGCTCATCTCCATACACGTGTATGGAGGGATGAATACAAGTCTTTAACTTAATTTTCTATATATAGGAGAGTCTCTCCCCCATTTTGAGAGGTTAGACAATTTTGAGCAAATTTCTCCTTCTTTCTCTAGAATTCCCACTATCTCCACTTGTTTTGTAGTTGATAGTTGATTTTCTCTACACTTTTGCACATAAGACCCTTAACCAAACAACCTCATCTTGGAGCTGAGGTTTTTTGAGGCTTAGTTTGAGCTCCTAATGTGGTTTTAGCTCATAATTGTGACTATTTTGTGCTGTGCTTCAAGAGGTATAGGACTTGCCTTGTAGACTTTATTTTGATTATTTGTTTGGCTATCTTTTTATACTATTTTTGGTCTAGTTTTCAACTACAAAAAATTCTGATTTTTGAAGCTTAATATGATAGTTTGAAGTCATTTTGTGCTAAAGGGTTGTCCACCTTTCTTGTTGCTTAATTATGAAACTTTTTGCATCATCTTTTAGCATATTAAAATCAAAATTTTCGAGCCTTTAAACCACTGAAATTCAGAGTTATTTCAGTGGTAGAAAACATGTTTTGAAGTCCAAAAATAGAGAGGTTGGCCTCACCTCCTTGTGTCTCACTTGCATGCCTAGTTAGCATCCTATGGTAGCATGTGTTTTGTGGTTTAACTTAGCTTAATTCAAGCATGTTTTAGCTATTGTTTCGACTGATTTTAGCTCTGTTTTGGGCTATCTTGGTCATATGAGCCTTGTTTTGCATAGTTGTAGTGCAAATAGCTTCACTAGCTTGGCATTCTAGCCCTTCAAACTTGATTTGCTTGAGATGGTTGCATATTGAAGTGTCTTTTTACATGTAATTTCAATGTTTATAGCTCTATCACATGCTCATTTGCTTCACTCTTTCATTGTTTTTTTAGAGTTGCTCTTGAGTATTGTTTATAAGCTAACATGCGAGCATGTTTTTCTAGCCTTTTGTGCCTTAATCTCAGCAAGTTTTAGCTACTGTTTTGGCATATTTTAACTATGTTCTGAGTTGGTTTGGTCAATTGAGGCTTGTATTGCATGGCTATAGTGTAATGGTCTTCACTAGCTTAATAAGTTAGGCTCTTAAACATGACTTGCATGTGTTGCTTGCATGATTTGATCTCATTTTGCATGCCGTGTCAGCACTGAAATATCTGCAACCGCCCTCGATTCTTCACTCTTTACTTTGTTCTGAAAGTGGCTTTGAGCCTTTTGTTGGCTTGAGTGTGGAATTGAGACCTTCATGCCTAACGGTTTAATTCATTCGGGAGTTCATTACCAACAACATGAGGCCTCTTTCATGCTCAAGGTAGTTGTGGCTTAATCCCTCTTTCCATTAGAGGACTCTCGTCTTTTGGATTTAACTAAGAATGGATCGGTAATTAAAATGAATAAATAAAACATGTCAAGTAAAACTTGAGCAAGTTAAGCATGTTGTGTTGTATTGCATGTGTTTGGATCGGACGTTAATCCAAACACAATAAAAATGGGACGTTTCATACTCAAAGTGATGAAATGTGTCATTTTTCTTAGTCATCGTCACCCTTGATCATGCATGACAGGGTGATGGTTGTTTTGGTCTTATTTGTGCATTCATTGACCTTGTACAAGCTTGGTTCTCTAGCCATCGTGCATTGAGAATGCTTGGTTGGTGGCTTGAAAGCCAAGAGCTACACTCCTTTGAGCTTGAGAGATGATAAGGAGGATAACAGTACATATATTTCTTGAAAATGCATTACTTTGCCTCTGTTTGCTCTCTATTGCAGTAAAAAAAGAAATCCAGAAAATGGGGTGCCCGACCGGCCACTTGAAGTAGCCAACCGGCCACTTGAGCTAGCCGACTAGCCAGTTGTTGTGGTCGACAGCCACCTTTTGTAGCCGACCGGCCACCAGTGAATTTTGCACAAATGTGTTCCTGTGTTAGAGCAGAGGCAATCTGGAAGTTGGTACAATTTTCGGTGATCAAATGAATGCAAGCAGAGACATCCGATGGCAAGGCAAAGACACTTTTGGGTGGAGCAACCGAGCATGCATACATCCCTCACCCTCGAGACCATTTAATTGCTTTAGTTAGTTAGCGTAGCTAATTATTCAATTCAAGTGTTGTAATTAAGAAGTTCAATTTGGTTTGTAATATTTTAGCTAGCTTAAAATAGTTAGTTAATTTGTCTCAATTGTTGTAATATTTAATTAGCTAGAATAGTTAATTAGTGTTATGTTATAATAATTAGTTTAGCTTAGTGTAACTTAGCTTATTCATTCGGACTCTCATTCGCGAGAGCATAATGTTGTAATAAGTGTGCGTATGTGCATGTCTTTCAACCCCACGTCTTTCTCCTTTTTATTTAACCGCTTTTGATGATTAGATTAAGGACATTTTCAATTAGCATACATTATGCTTGCATGTTTGCATCATTCATTTGTCTTGCATGCATAAGGCTTGGCGCTTCATACAAAGTACATCACAATTTCAATACTTATTTGAATACGTGTTTTAAAGCATGTTATCAAATTGTATCATATGCCATATTAGTAGCCGAGTCTATTAATTACATTATTGCATGTTTTGCATTAGATATCTTGTATAGTTAGGATCATGCATTCTTTCTAACTAAGCTTTTGTTTTGGCTTGGAGTACTCGGTAAGTTTTTACGCTTTAGCATATCGCATGAGATGTGAATGTTGCCATGATAGCATGCTTGCCATGAGGCTATTTGCTTAAATGATTAACTGCATGAATGCTTGTGGATGAAGGCTTTGTTATTTGAATTGGAACAATTCGACGAATGTGAGTTTTAAGCCCACTTTGCGAAGTGGCAAATTATGTTTTAAGCCCATCATGTTTGATGGCAAATCCGCATTTTAGCCCACTTGAGAGTGGCAAATTCAAATCATTTTCGAAAACAAACATGAGTTGATTTGTTCCAATTCTCACAATTTTAGTCTATACTTGCTTGTGTGCGCGACGTAGTAAAGTTAGCTAATAACCGGAATAAGAACACATGTGTTTATAAAATGACATATCATGATAGTAGAGGCCGATCTTTGATCGGGCGAGCGAGAGTGCTCATTTCAGAACCTTCCCCTCTCGTACCTAAGTTTCCCGAGCCAAGGCAACTTTGGTGATGACGGACACGTGACCTTTGGCACAAGTCAGGGTTTCCTAAATTTTCCAAAAATAAAATATTTAGGTGACGACTCTTTAATCTGGCAAAGCAGTTTAGTTTTGACATTATTTGATCTAAAATCAATTTTTCAAAATGATTTGCCGGATTGGACTTTTTGGTATTTATTAGTTTTACATTGTATTTTGTGAGATTAGATTCAGAACCGTGACAGGAGTCCGAACTGTAGGACCAATTTGAGCTCTCCAAAAAAGGGCGCAAAGAAAGTCGAGCTACAGTGAGCTTCAAAGAACATAATTTGTTTCTAACTAGGCCTCTTATATAAACAAAAGGTAAAAAATGCCCCTAAAAAACAATGCATGTCTTTTAAGGGACATTATGAATAAAGAAAATTTAGGCCTGATTTGACATGTCTTAAAAAAGGACATTATGAATAAAGAAAATTTAGGCCTGATTTGACATGTCTTAAAAAAATAAAAAGCAAAAAAGTTATTCAAAAAGTTAAAAAGTTATTACTATTCACCAAAAAAAAATTTAAAAATTAATTTTACACATAATTACTTTTCAAACTGCTCTGACATCCCACAGGCGCAGCTGAGTTGTTGAAAAAATTGCACTGATTTAGGTGCACAAATAACACTGTGCTATTCGGCCAGTGGGGGCCATCACGGGTCCCGTTTTAATAATTTGGACCGTTCAATGTGTAGAATTCGTCGAGTACTATATGTTTGTAAAAAATCACGTTAATCGGATATCGGTAACTATATGATCGACTCAGTTAAAATTTATAAAATGGATGGTGTTATAATTAACGGTTGAAAAAAAACTAATCCGATCAGATAGCTATCGATATTCGATCAACGTGATATTTTATAAGCATATGGTACTCAACGAGTTCTATACATCGAACGGTTTTTATTAGCAAAACGGGACCCGTGGTAGGCCCCCATAGGCCAAACAACACCTTCAATTCACTGCCCGAAAAGCAGGGAACCATCTCCCCCCTACGCTGCACACGCTGTCCCTCACCGTAGAGCCCATTCCATCACAATCTTCTCATATACACTAATTTATACAATTTTTTAATACACATTTTTTCGTAAAAAGTCAAAAAATTATCCCAAACAATCATATTTTTTTCTCAACTTTTTAATCTAAAAATTCAAAAAATACACTTATTTAAGACACCTCAAACAACCCCTTATTTTGGATTTCAAGTAATACCCACTTTCTACCGAGGATTTTTAACCAAATTTCCCATTCAAAATGGTAATGGGCTCCATGGGTTCTTGGGCAGCCCAATATGGCCCATTACAATCGATTACTGGTCAGTTTTATATCATGGACTTAAATGTTTATGACTTTTTAAGTTTTATATGATGGATTTAAATGTTGGAAAATGTCTCGTAATTTAAATTTTGTGACTCAAAAGTGATTTAAATGGCCAAAATTGTTTTGGCCATTTTTATGTTGTTCTGTACTCAAAACGACGTCGTTTTGACCATTTGAGCCACTTTTGAACCACAAAATTTGAGTTATGTAGCATTGTCGTTAAATGTTTATGAGTCTTTTATATTTTTTTAATGTATCAAAAAAATCTTAAAATGCTTATTTTGTTTTAATACTTTTTAAGTTTTATATGATGGATTTAAATGTTTATGAGTCTTTTATATATTTATAATATATAAAAAATTCTTTAATTGTTTTAATACTTTTTAAAAATAATAATACGTGAAAAAAAAAATAGTCTAATCAATAGGAGTAGTCTGTAACTCTCCAAAGAAATAAGACTTACGTATAGATTTTAATAAGTGAATTTATTGTCCAATAGATTTTATGATGATTAATGGTTTTTGTCAAACACTATTAAAAAAAGTAACTAATTGTTAATTTTCAGCGACAGTTTGAAAATTTTATCAAAAAAATGTCACTAATTATAAATTTTAGAGACAATTTAAAAAAATTATTACAAAAAAAAGTTACTTATTTTTAACTTTTTGCGACAATTTGAAAATTAGTCATAGAAAATGTCACTAATTATAAGTTTTAGAGACAATTTATAAAAATTATGACAAAAAGTCACTAATTATCAATTTTTAGCAGCATATATAAAAAATCATCAAAAAAGTTTTTTTTAGTAACAATTTTATTAGGACTTATTTTTCAATAGGACTTGATAAGAATTAAATGAAATTATTAGAATTTATAGATAGTTTACCTTTTTAAATGCGTTGTCCAACAAACTTGCTACTCTTTTTTTTATATTATTTAAATATTATTCCTATTCATGTTAATTTAGAATTATTTTTTATAAACTCAACATAATTAATTTCAAAATAATATTTTTAATATTTTGACTAGATGGAAATCACTAATCAGGTTCGGTCCTGAGGATATGCAAGAGAGGCCTATCTTGGGCCCTAAAATTTGGGCTAAAAATAGAAGCCCTCAAATATAATTTTGTATTTTAGATATAAAATAAAAGGCTCAAATACTATAGGCACAATTGAACATGGGACCCAAAAAAAAAAAACACAGTCCATAAATCTTAAGAGTTACAGCTTGCTGCGCCAAACAAAACTAAAAAAAGAAAAAGCAAAAAATTAATTTAGTTAAATAAATACAAATTGAATGGGTTAGTTTTGTTATCTATTGAAAAGGATATGGTGGATAAATTCGATTACGCAAACTTCTTTAGTAATTTTGCAGCTAAAAATGTGAGAAGAGTAATGTCTGTGTGATAGTTGGTTCAATTGTAAACTGGATATTGCTAAATTATAAAGCAACAAAATCAAAATTTTATTTTTTTAAAATTTTTGTAAAGATTGCTCCCTATCTTAATATACGAAAGTAAATTTTTGTTTATAATTTTAATGATTATATATGTAAGTAAATTTTCTTATGGTTACAAACAAATAAAAATTTGTTATAACTTATCATTTTATCCATAAATATATATTTTTTTTCAATATAAGAGGGGTTTCATTTCCGAAATTTACCTTGGTCTCTAATGTTGTGTTTGGTTGGGGGATTTGGAAAGTGATTTGGAAAAGGTAGGTGAAATATGAATAAAATATGTATATATTTCACATAGTTTCATACATCTTTTCCCTTTTCCTTTCTAAATCCTTCTCCAAATTCCTCAACCAAACACACCATTAATCTCATGCTAACTCTGTAACTAATTACATTTGTTGAGATAAAATCACAAAAACTAAAATGACTCTTAATAGTTAGTTTGATAAAAGTAAAATTTATTAATTTACTCATTATTTTAGTTAAACAATGAAAATAACTTAGTTGGATAAATATGCTCAACTCTCATATTTTGTCTATTTTATTTTTCAATAAAAATCGTGAAATTTGGTGAAAAATAAAAAAGAAAAAAAAAAATTCAAACTTTTGGGAAATTAACCATAAAGGATTGATTGAGAAAATTTACAAAACTAGGAAAGGAAGGGTTCGACACTTGTGAATTGAGCTGCGACAATGAAGAGATTCTTCCAACCAATACAGAAGGAAGGGTCCTTCAAGAAACCCACTCTTTCTCCTCCCGATACTACTGACAACACACAAGCTTCTTCCAATGATGATAAGAACAACCAAGACCCATTGAAGTTCTTAACTTGGAACGCCAATAGCTTCCTTCTTCGCGTCAAAAACAACTGGCCTGAGTTAACCAAATTCGTCCAGACCTTCGATCCTGACGTTATTGCGATTCAGGTGACTCAATTTAGCTTCTGCTCTGCATTTTTTATCATGGGTTTGGTTTTGTTTGGGGGTTTCGTGAGATTGACGAGTGTGGGTATTGGTAGAACTGGTAAGCAGGGTTTTGGGTACGTGAAAAAACATTAACCAATGTGTGTAATGGGAAATTGCTATTTAACTACATTCTACGCTTTTTGGGTTACTGGGGTTTTGGAAGTTAGTTTTTGCACTTGATCATGTTTGTTGATTCTTTGAGTTGGTGAAGAGATTGTTTTTATGCTGAGATTATGGTTAGCTGTGGCTAGGAAAGATTGTGAAAGAGTTGATTTTGATGATTCCACATTTGGGTATCATATGATGCTCACTAACCACATTGTTTGATAGGCCTCACATAACACATATACATATGTGATATTAGTGCCATATAGGGCTGTTTGGTGTAGCTTATGGAGCTGGTTATAACTTCTTATTTTATTTTGGAAATATGCGTCGGAGTATTTGGTTTAGATTATGCTTACTTCTTATGAGGCAGAAATAGCTTTAATAAGCTGAAAAAAAGCTTATTATTGAAAGGGCATTGCTATTCTAACCCAAAAATTAGACCCACTTTTCAAACCCAATAATGTGGCAATGAATTAGAATATCTAAGTTAACTCTCTCCCTTATGTCTTCTCTAATCATCAACCAATCATCTCACTTACACATCGTTTAGAAAGTGGGTCTAGAAAGTGAGCTTGTATATCATTTTCTTTATTGAAAAGCAGAGGGAGAGGTTTTTTTTTGAGCTTCAGCTTGCCAGAAGCTGCACCAAACACGGTATCACATCAATGGACCCAAATGTAAGTCACCCTAGTATTTTGTTAGTTTAATTCCCCATGCTGTATTTAGGGCCTTATATGGACATCAGTTTCAAGCCAATGTTGCATTAGTTGGCAAGCCAGTGGAATAGTTATAGCCAGATCCTTGTGCACAAGAATTCTTTTGATTTTGTCCTAGCTGGAGTGGACTTATCGAATAGATTTCATATACCATGATAAGCAATTTGGATAAGGTTCCTTTAGCTGCTGGTGGACTTAGTTTTTTTTTTTTTTTGATAAATAAAATTTATTACTGAAGGCATCAAGAACATGCTAAAAGATACAAAAAAAGGAACCCCAAGAAAGGGAGAAAACACCTAACCAATCAAATCGTCTACAAAATCCCAAAAAAAAGTAAAAATAAATAAATCAATAAATTTGGATCCGCCCTCCTAGTAACCCAACTATATAGAACTTAACAAACCTATTCTCTAACCATGGCAAAGACCAAACCAGCCACATTAAGCACAATGGGGCCATGGCCCAAGCCTTCCGTCGCCTCTTCCCAATCTGACCCCTCCCCAACTACAGAGAACCGCCATCACTCCTTTTTGCTGAACCCGGCCATTAGTTATGGCCTACATTATTTTTAATTTTTTTTAGTCTGGTTTTCTGCATTTTGTAACAAGCAGCTTATAGTCAGAGTTAATACACAAGATACAGCTGACTAGTTTATGGAACTTGTCGGAACTGATTTATTAAAGCTTTTTGCCAAAGAACTAAATTCCGCTGGATCAAATTTCCTTTGGATTGTTTTGGTTAAGGACTTAATGGCTTTGGTATTTTCTTTTGCTGTGTATGTTGATTGGGGTTTGCTCCTATGGAAATATAAGGAAACTAATGTGTTCTTTAAATTTAAAATAAAAAATAAAACTAATTATCATTTATCTTCAAGTAAAAGAGACTATAATTTGATGTAGAACTATCATAAGAGAAATTGGAAAGGGTTGTTTTGTGGGAGCATATAAATTCATGGCTTCGTCGAAAATTAGGCAATGCCAAGAAACTGAGTTTTAGTCACACTGCTAAATTTAACTTGCTTAGAAAAGCCTATTCCTGAAATTTTGGATGCCAAAATATAACATAAATATGTGTGGAGTGAGTTAAGTCACATGTCACTGTCCTCTTAAACTCTATATGTGTCTTATGTGTTCTGAATATGTGATTGATGTGTACGATTGTCACTTTGTTTTGATCACATATATAAACTAAGTACTTTATGGGCAAGATTTTATCTAACAGTTCATTGATTTTAGGAAGTAAGGATGCCTGCAGCTGGTTCCAAGGGTGCACCTAAAAATCCAGGAGAGTTGAAAGATGACACAAATGCTTCACGCGAGGAAAAGCAGGTATCTTGTTGTTTTCTACTACCAAGTGTTTGTGTTAATACAACATGCATTTCATCAAATGCTAAATTTTATGACTAAACCATCTTGTGAGCCTTAACTTCTTTAGGATGTGCTTAAAAGTTGCATACTTTGAATATAAATTGAATTGCTTCATTTTTTATAGTGTAGGGGTCAAAACCCATTATCAATAAGAAAAACTACTTTTGTGAGGTTGAAGGCATGGGAGCAAACTGTGGCTTTCTTGAAGCGAAACATTATGGACTTTTACTATCTTATTTGAGAAGGCTATTATTTTTTATAATGCCTCCTTGGCTCTCAGTGAAATATTTCTACCTTCAAATCATATGTGGAGCCATTCAAATTATTGTTTTTCCTTCTCCATATATGATAAACTTGGTAGATGTTAGCAATAGTTATTTGCTGAATGTGGCTTTAAGTGTGTCATTTATTATCTCAATCTTCCTTCCCTGACGTCATGTTTAAAGCATTATCAATAGAAAATGCATAGGCTACGGGCTTCATTTTTGGGCTTTCTGGAATGCGTCTTAGGATCAAAATTCAATTTCTACTAATGATGTTCCTATACTTTTTCTTTTTTGAAACTATGCAGATTTTGATGCGTGCCATTTCAAGTCCACCATTTAGAAATTATAATGTATGGTGGTCTCTTTCAGATTCAAAGTATGCAGGGACTGCATTGTTTATAAAAAAGTGTTTCCAACCGAAAAAGGTCTCTTTCTCTTTGGATCGAACAGGTAGTTTGCTACCCCGATCTTTAATTGTTCTATGGATATCTATATATTTAAATTTATTTATCTGTTTTTAATAGGCAGAAAAGTTTTTTTTATTTAAAATTTTCATATAACTATAGTTATATATATAGTGTATATAGTTACAATTGATATCTGTGGTACAAATTAAGTTTTTTATTGTCATTTTACCTAAACACACATCTGTACATGAATAAGCCATATGATAAAAGGAAATCATGCTATAAGGGGCAGAATAAAATTAAAAATTACTGCTGGTAAATCCTGCTTCTTGCTATCAATTGGGAAGAATTTTCTTTGCAAGAATATTTGTAGGTTGTGAATATCATAAAATCTACAATCAACCATTCAGCACACATCATGTTGCTAAATAATTTCAGGCAAATTAGGGATTTAAAGCAGGAATTTATTCTTCAAAATGAGAATTTACATGTTGATAAGCTGCATTCATTCTTTGGTGCAGAAATTAGTTTTTGAAACAGTACTGTGGGACTTTGTAAGGGAATCATTGTATCATATCTACCCCAACAATAGGAAATTTTCTAGTATACGATGTTGTCCATATGGCCAAATGAGTTTTTACTTTATCTTCTCAACCTCTCAAGAAGTGGAGGTAAAGTTGCGTAGATCTTGCCCTCCCTAGACTCTGCTTTAGTGGGAGTCTGGTTCATTGGGTCGCCTTTTTTGTCTTCTCATTTAAGCAAACAAAATACTAATACAGACTAACCCCTCTTTGTTAAAGGCTTGACATAATGAAATTAGGGTAATATATCTTGAATCTTATTCTTCTTCAACTTGTTGTTCATCGTCTTATTACAAAACATTTCTAGAATGAATCCTAAGCTGAACTACTGTGTCATGATTCAAAATATCAAAGTGGTTTTCCCTTATAATTTGCGCTCTGTCAAATATATGGATTTATATTCATGTATCTGAAATGGGAGAATAGGCTTGTTGTGACCTGGCAATCTAATAAATAACTGTGTATGTTGCATTGGATCCACTTAATGAAAACGTTTACACAGTGGTGGATCAAGATACTTGTTTTCAGCATTCTATGTGCTCTCTATAAGAAACCTTCATTTAGAGTATTTCCACTTTCATGGTCTGTCAATTATGCTCGTCATTGTACCGATTTATTCCTTTGGTTGTGAAACAAGTAGAGCAGTCGAATGATAATCATTGTTTGTTGATGATAGCATCAAAGCATGAACCAGAAGGCCGGGTTATTTTGGCCGAATTTGAATCATTCTATTTATTGAATACATATGCACCAAACAATGGTTGGAAAGAGGAGGAGAACTCATTTCAAAGGAGAAGAAAATGGGATAAAAGGATTATGGAATTTGTTTTGCGAAATTCAGACAAGCCTCTTATTTGGTGCGGTGATCTTAATGTTAGGTATGCCCTTTTCCCTCCCCTTTGTTTTGGCCTAATTGAGCTCTTATTTCAATTTATTGTTTTGCTCAATATTGTCAGCCGCATAGTAAGTTTTCTGTTAAATTAAAAATAATATGTTGAATGTGGAAAGAAAAAAGGAACAATATCTCGAACTTTTTTAGGGATGCAACAAGGTTGCTTCCTGCTACTCAGTCATAAATTAAGTAAATTATCACACAAGTTTTCATATTAGGGTTTTGAACAAGTTTTTGAAGGTAAACATTAGTTGTTTTCTCTTGATTTGAATAAAATGCTCTTTACACTGACCTAACTTCCTATACTTTCTATTAGATATGTTACTGATTACAGTTTCACATGGTGTTTCTTCTTCCAGGCATTTTGAAGTTTTCTTCTTCTTAATTTTTCCCAGATGGCTAAAGAGTTAAATCATAAGATTTTCTCATCCTTGACTTAAAATTTTGAACTGCATGTCTGTGCTCAATTTTGTTGTTATTCAAACTTGTTGCATATGGCAACTGAACTCTGTATTCATGTTTAGATTTTGTTCAATTAAGATGGGAGTCACAGGTGAAATATGGAGTTCATAGTTATCAATGTGAATCAAATTTATGTACCATAATGTCTATCAGAAAGTGAGATGGCCACCTCTCTTATACAGGAAATAGTCTTGCTCAACATGGAGAAATCTACGATTTGGAAGGAAAGTGTCTTACCCGCAAAAGAGATTCTAGTTAAATTTTATTCCAATCCTCTGATTTCATTAATGTGAGATAAAGTGGTTTAACCACCTCCCTTATCCAGAGATGGTCTGGCTCAGCATGGAGAAATCTATGGTTTGGAAGTAAATTGTTTTACTCCAATAGAGATTCTAGTTAAATTTTATTGCAGCCCTGTGATTTCATTAATTTAACTTCAAAAATATCTGCTTTTCTTGACTTTACTTTCCAAGGAGAATTGAGTGTTTGAATCTGCATATTCATGACTGCTGAAGGCTGACTATCACAAATTATTCCAAGTTCTACTTATTAAAGAAAATTTTGTTGGCTTTTATTTTTTTGTCCTGCAGCCATGAAGAGATTGATGTGAGTCATCCAGACTTCTTCAGTGCAGCAAAGCTCAATGGTTACATTCCACCAAATAAGGAGGTGATATTATCTCTATGATAGTTTATATTCTTGCATGAATGATGTTTTATTGCTTTTACATACATTCCGGTGAATGCCTTGTCTTATTAATTATCCTCATGGATGCCAAGTTTTTAGAAATCTTAAAACTGAAAAATGAGGATTGAAGTGAGTGAGATGCCTATGTAATTCATTGAATGATTTCATTGTAGTTGATATAGCATTTGAAGAAAGGCCGTTAGGATTGAAAGTTCAAAATAGAATGGTATTGAAACAGTTTTATGATTCCATGAAATACCAAAGTACAAATTTTTATTTTCATATTTGTTGTTGGGTGGCAGTGGCACTTTTGGGAGGTGGCCTATAGGAGACTGATTTAAATAAAAGTATAAAATACGTTGGGGCAATTTAACTCCCATAGGATGTCCAAACATATTTAAAGATCTACTCAACAATTTTGTGACCATCACTGCAACTAACAACTTTACTTTTACCTGACTTCTTGATAATGCAGGACTGTGGCCAACCTGGATATACCTTGTCCGAGAGGAAGCGTTTTGGTGCCATATTAAAAGAGTATGTAAATCCATTATAATTTTTGTATGTTGCTGGTATGATTTTATATTGGAAGTGATACCATGACACATGAACTAATCACTTTCTCATGATACTAAGGTGAATTACTAAATCAGAAATGTGTGTAATGGATATTTTATTTCCTTTTAGTTATTTTTTCAAAGTCATTAGAAATCAGGTCACTGATTCCGGAGAATATTTTTAAGAACACAATGCTGAGAAATCTTTTCAAAAGTTTGAAAAAAAAAAAAAAGTGAATAAAAAGCAAAAACTTTTTATTTTTCCAAGTTTTACTTTGGTTTGCATTTTACAGTTTTAAGTATCATTTGTTTCTTTTGTATGTTATAAATCATTTTGAGGTTAAAGCCTCAGCATCTTTGATACCTTAGGCTTGTCTTTATAATCTTATCTTGTCAAAATTTCAAATACTGCCATCAAAAATTTTTTAATTTTGTCTTGAATGAAATAATATTTAATAGCGTTACAGCTTTGCAGTTGGGAGGCTTGGGTTGATACTCTGATGACGCAAGAGCATCACATAATATTAGAAGATTTCTACAGCCAATATATGCCTATATTTCCATTCCTTGTTTGAAAATATAGGGTGATGTTGAAAACTTTGTAACTCGTAAAATATTTATGAAAAGTAGGTCTATGGTAATGTTCATTCAAAGTATGTTCTTGTTTCGTTTAACAAATTTAGGAGGGAGACATTTTTCTTCACATTGGAGGATTTTGGAATTCGTAATCCGAAGTAAGTGGTGTGTTGAAGTGAAAAATTGGTAAGATAAGTTTGAAGGAATTATTGCTCTTACGCCTTTTTTTTAGTGAAATTTTATAAAAAAAAAAAAAAAAAAACATCAGGAAATTATTTCTTGAAGTACTTCCTGTAATACAAGGTGGAGCCTATTCATGCTCAGATTAGTAATAGTTGCAAATTCACTTTATGGCCAAAATAGTGAAATTGAGTTCTTTTTGCTTTGTACATGTGATCCTTGTTTATGGGATAAACTAGAAGTTTAATTGCTTCCAGTACTGTGGATTATGCTTCAGGGGAAAGCTAGTTGATGCATATAGATTCCTACACAAGGAGAAAGATATGGAACGTGACTTCTCATGGTCAGGAAACCCTGTGGGAAAGTAAGTAACGACTAATATTTTTGAGCAGAAAAGAATGACTACCGTTTCAATGTCAATAATACCTTCAGAACCAATCCCAAAAATAAATGTCAGTCAATTGTCGTTATGTATTAGCTATTATTACTAAATATAATTTTGACTCACCACAAAAAGACTAGAATTAATTTCATTAATAGTTGTTATTATTGTTATTTTTAATTTAAATTTGAATCTTAGGTTGATAAATGTTGCATGTGACTTGAAAAGGGGCTTTCTTGTAGGTATCGAGGAAAAAGGATGAGAATAGACTATTTTGTAGTCTCAGAGAAACTCAAAGATCGGATAGTTGCTTGTGAGATGCATGGGCAGGGGATTGAGTTGCAAGGTACAATTCATTCCATTTCTAATTAACACTAGCAATATGGTTAGAAGCTGAAAATAAACTTGTTGCCCACGTAATGAAAAGTTAAATCCCAAGTGCTTTTGGATGTCGTAGTAGTCGACTCTAGTGGCAATGACATCCTATGTTTTATGGATTTGGGTACGGTTGTCAAGTATGGGTTTATGTCTAATTGTTTTATTCATCTAATTCTCGTGTCCAAGGACACAGACAATAAAATATTCGTATTTTTTAATCTACTATTATTTTCTACGGTAAATTGGCGTTTACTAGATGCTATAGCGCATTTCATGAATAAGCTAAGAAGTACACACTCTTAAGTACTTCACGTGTCCGACGTGAACACAAACACTCGTCCAAACGTGTCCTATAAATGTTTTTAGACTACGGACACACTTTAGACTCTTGGGGGACACACACTCATCCAAATGTGTCCTATAAATTTTTTTATACAACGGCCACACTTTAGACTCTAGGAGAGACACGTATCCATCTCTTAGACATCTTTAGAGCCCCAACTGTCCCGATCTTTGCCACTCCACTTCTTTCGTTTTTGCTGCTTTCACTTTATAAGCATCTGGAGTTAATCTTGAACTGTTTTCAGGTTTCTACGGGAGTGACCACTGCCCAGTATCCCTTGAGCTTTCACGAGCAAGCCCTGATTCCAGCCAAAGCTAAGTTTTCGTATAACATCCGTAGATTGTATGCCCTTTTGGCTGTGATGTACTTGTCATTATCTCACCAGACGTTACTTTACAGATGGATTAAGCGAATCATGTCGGTTAGTTTTCTGTATATGCAGTCCATTTTATTAATCTAGCCTAGCTAGATGGAGACTTGTGCATGTATTGATGGAGATTTACTGGGAGTAGAGGATTTGATTCAGTAGGGAAGGACTACTTTGAACTATGTTCCGTGCCCCGTTTGGCAATTTTTTTTGAAATTGTTTCCCAATGCCATCCCCTTCTCTTCCTCACTCAAAATCTTCAGATAAAGTATATAGCCCTTAGACTAGGTAATCTCTCTGCGTGCCAAACATATTCTAAAGCGCTTCCAGGCTTCAAAACAATACTATTTTTTTTTTTTTAAATGAAAAAAAAGTTCACTTTTTAGGGTTTTTTGGACAAAATTGATTTATTATCATCTTAGGTAAATTTGTGCATCATTGACAGACTTAAAAGTAAATACAGAACTTAGCATTGTTGTGCATGTAAAAGTGAAGTCTGTATGGATGAAAGTATATGTTGCCATTGCTTTTTAAAATCATATTCTTGATTGGCTGTGTGTGTGTGAGATGGAACAAGAAAGAGCATCTTGTGATGATTGGAACTAATGGAATCTAATGGTTGTAATGTCTGCTTGTAAACTACGCAACAGTTAAAGTAATTTGAATGCCCCAAATGGTCCGTTATGTGTTTAGGCCGCAATTAGGGGCATCATATTGAATTAATGTGTAGAGTAGAGTTTAGGGATGCAATATATAGATTAAAGATTAGTAACCAAAAAGAAATAGGTGTTGTAGATTAAGGACCAGATGTGTAATTTATCCCATGTGCTTACTAATAAGAATTAGAAACATGTGTATTCAAATCACAATAATTGATAATTACTGATAAATAAACAAAGAAAATGATACATAAATTTGAAAAATAAAATAAAAATGGAAGTGCAAAAATGAGGTGAAGCCATAAATGTATACAAATAAGTCCACATATATAAAATTAAGGGCTAATTACATTAAGCACCACTTTGCTTTTACCATAATCTTTCTTTGGTTTATTTATTTTTAATTGTGATAATTAACCCCTTATACTTTAGGTCAAATTGTAATCCTTCTGTCCATCTATCTGATGAAAATTAAAAGTAAATTGACCAAAGTAAAATTTTACAGGCACTAAAGTGGAGATTTTGATGAAATTATTGGAGCACCAATGAGATGAAAAAAGTATCACATCTAAGGCCTCGTTTGGGAATATGTTATTTTAGTAACTTTTTAATTTTTTACGAAAAGATGTACAAAAAATAGAGAGAGTGATATAATAACTTATAATGATTTTTTGACTTTTTGACTAAAATGTGTAGTTGACAAACGAGACCTTAGCTTACATGAAAATTTTCATCAGCTTATTAACGATAGAGGATTGATTGTCATAATTAAAATTGAAACAATCAAAGTGAGATTATAATTGACATGGGTAAGCCCATAAAGGTTATAGCCCACCACTTAGGGCCCAATACATAATTCAAATACTAAAGCCTAACATTTTTGAAGCTCAACGTGGCATTAAGAACCAATGACATCTAAACATGTGGCAAGAGAAGGTCAAGCCACATAAGCAGACAAAAATTCTGCAAAGTTATTGCACTGCACATCAGCCATTAATGGAGTTCCTTACAGTATTTATTGCGATAACCCTTCCCCGTCGAGGCAGAACGGCCTCACCATGAACAAGGTAAGCTAGAGCATAGACTTACGGCCAAGACGACAGGTCGGAAGGGACAACGAAATGATTACCAGAGGATATAAGCAGGCATCGAAGACAAGAAGAAGGTTGAGCTTTCTATCTCTAATTTATCTTTACATCCCATCTCTCTTTCTAACTTGCTCGTCGGAGGGTTCGCTGGGAGATTCCCCGTCCACTGTTGAACTCTTGTGCAGGTTCCTCTGTGGGCTTGGTACCTCGGACACTGGTTTGGGAAGCGTGGATCAGTCCGACCCGTTCCATCTGGAACACGCTGTATCATCAGTTGGCGTCGTCTGTGGGAAAACTTTTACTTCGCGCACCAGTTGTGCTCATTGTCACCGGAGACCCTTTCCCAATAACCCCTTCCCGCCACCTACCAAGGTGGATAGTCACAACTAGATCCATGGCTTCTCACCACAATGTTGTCGACCACCAAGCCGACCTTCCTAATCCAAACAACCCGCCGCAGTATTTCACTGAGCTCACCAACAACATTAACCGCCTGGCCGAGCAAAACCAAGCCCTGATTAATGCTCTACTCCAAAGAAACCTTCTTATGCCTCCTCCACCACCTCTAGATATCCCACCCAACCAAGAACGAGCCCCGAGCCATACTATCCAGCAGCCCCATCCACCCAACTTGGAAGGCTTGCGACCCCCTCCCCCAGATATAAACCCGCCACCCCGGGTCCCACCTCTATCGATCCAAGCACCCACACCCGAGGGAGAGGCCAGTAGTGTCCAGCCCCCATTGCATTCCGATGGTGACAACGTTCCACTCTAGGACGCGGAACTCCGAGCCATGAAGCTGCAGCTCCAAGGAGTCATGCAGAACATACAGCATAAACCATCTACCATAGCCAACTCACCATTCGTTGCCTCCATCAAGGACAAACCTCTACCTCCTAAGTTTAAAATGTCATCGATTGACTCTTTCGGCGGTACAACGGACCTAGTCGATCACTTGGAGACCTACAGGACCCTCATGATCCTCCATGCATTCCCTGATGAAATCATGTGTCGAGCTTTTCCTGTAACACTTAAGGGGTCAGCCCGACTGTGGTTTAGTCAGCTACCGACGGACTCTGTCTCTACCTTTCAGCACCTGAGTGACTCCTTCCTCAGCCACTTCATTGGTGCCCAGTGCCAACGGCATCCGACAACTCAGCTCCTTAACATCCGTCAGACGGAGGGAGAGTCGCTGTACAGCTTCATCACCCGCTTCAACACCGAGACCTTGCAGGTGGCAGAAAATGATGACAAGGTCATTCTCACGACTTTCATGGCCAGTCTACGATCATTTGATTTCCTTTTTTCCCTCTCCAAAAACCCCCTCGACCTCTATGGCAACCCTACTTTCCAAAGCCCAAAAATACATAAACGCCGAAGATTCCCTAGCCGCCCGGCAAGATCCTACGGCCAAAAACCCGACCCCTAGAGAGAAGAGAAAGGACTCAGAAACCAGAAACACCCAATACACTCACCAAACACCTCAGTATACCGATCGACCACCCCGAGCCGACTAGTTGGTTCGAACGATACACCCCCCTCAACTCTCCCATGGAACAAGTCTTGAACCAGATTCAACGAGATTATCCCCTAAAATGGCCCCAATCGTCACGGTCTCCTTCCAACCGGCAAGACCAGTCCAAATACTGTCGCTTTTATCAGGACCACGGCCATAATACGAAGGAGTGTGTTAACCTTAAAGACCAGGTCGAGGGCTTGATACATCAGGGACGTCTCAGTCGGTTCACGGAAGCCCGCCCTCAGCAGAGGCAAAGGACTGAACCCATTAGAAACAACCGCCGGTGCACCCCTCATCGACAACTCGCACACCTAACCAAGGTCATGATCGCCCTCCACAGCAACCCCGGGCACAAGGTAAACCCGCCCCCCCTGTTGGAGAGATCAGATTTATTGCTGGCGGGCTTACTTGTGGAGGACCATCCCGCTCAGCTCAGCAGGCATAACTCAGAAAAATAAGGCAGGGCTCAGACAAAGAAGTTGCCACATTGGATCGCCCTTCCAAACAGCCCAAGCAGTGGATGGAGCCCATCACCTTCACGGACGTCGACTGCACAGGTATCCGTTACCCCCATGCCGACCCTTTCGTCATCTCGGCCCTCCTCCCTAATTACAAAGTTAGACGGGTTCTCGTCGACAACGGCAGTTCTTTAGACATCATCTTCCTAAGTGCCTTTCGCCAGCTGAAGGTCGGGGAAGAAAGTCTGTCCCCTCTCCAAACCCCATTGGTCAGTTTTACTGGAGATCGGGTGACCTCCATCGGCTCCATCGATCTTCCCATCATAATCGGAGAATTCCCGCGACATACCACAAAGTTGCTCACATTCCTCGTCGTCGACTGTCCCTCTGCTTACAACATCATCCTCGGCCGCACCGCCCTAAATGCTTTCCAAGCTATCACATCCATTTTTCATCTTGTCGTCAAATTTCCCACCGACCTTGGGGTCGGCACGATGAGGGGAGAGCAGATCATGGCCAGAGAATGTTACGTCGCTTTACTTAAAGAGGTCAAGCTAAAGGAGGTTATGGTCATGGAAGGGCTCGACATTAGAGACGAGGATAAACTGATCAGAGGGGAACCAGTGGAAAAGCTTGTCGAGGTCTTCATTGATCCCACCAACCCGATAAAAACTACCAAGATCGGCAGCAAACTATCCTCCCAGGCCAAGGCCGACCTTACTGCCCTCCTAATTGAGCACAACGACGTATTTGCCTGGACCCACTTCGACATACCGGGTATTGACCCCTTCTTCATCACCCATCGCCTCAGCATTGAGCCCCATTTCTGACCCTTCCGCCAGAAGCATCGCATCTTTCACCCGAAGCGCAATACTCTTTATCGCTTCTGAAGTAAATAAGCTCCTTGAGGCACAGTTTATCAAAAACGTGGACTACCCCAGATGGCTGTCAAATGTGGTCATGGTCCGTAAAAACAACGGTAAATGGCGACTCTGTGTCGACTACTCCGACCTCAACCGAGCTTGCCCCAAAGACAGTTATCCCCTTCCTCGCATAGATCTACTTGTTGACGCCACAACCGGTCATCAAATGCTCAGCTTCATGGATGCCTTCTCTGGGTATAACCAAATTCTGATGCACCCGTCTGACCGGGAACACACCTCCTTCATCACCGACCGGGGAACCTACCATTATTGTGTCATGCCATTTGGGTTGAAAAATGCCGCGGCCACTTACCAACGATTGGTCAACACCGTCTTTCATCATCAGATAGGCCAAAACATGGAAGTATGCGTCGATGACATGCTAGTCAAGAGCAAGCTCTCCACTGATCATCTGGCCGACCTACGAGAGACCTTCGGCACCCTACGAAAGTATCAAATGAAGCTCAATCCGGAGAAATGCGCCTTCGGCGTAGGATCTGGGAAATTCTTGCTTTTCATGGTCAGACAGCGGGGCATCGAAGCTAACCCCGAAAAGATCAAGGCCTTAATAGAAATGCAGTCGCCCAGAACGGTTAAGGAGGTTCAGAGGCTTATTGGCAGAGTCGCCGCCCTCAACCGTTTCATTTCCCGCGCAACGGACAAGTGCCTCCCTTTCTTCAAAGTTCTTCGGCAAACTTTCGAGTGGACAATCGAATCTGAAGAGGCTTTCTAACAATT